GCACAATTCTAATCCTATGACCCTAGGGATCAGATAGGACTCCACGCATACACACAATAGACATTTATTTTAAAGAGTAAAAAAAAAAAAAAAGAGGTCTGCTAAGAGAGCCTAAGACCCAGACCTGGAGTGTGTCTCCTTTTCAAACATCACAATATTGCAAAGGAAGCATAAAGGCTGTGAGACCTCAGGGGGCCAAGGATTTTCTGGTAGAGAACAAGGTCAGATCATCTCTTAAACTGTGTGGTGGTTTTTGATTCTCAGGTCCTTTCTTCTTTTGGTGTCTCCTCCTCTGCCCCATCACCCTCAACCCTCCCGCCCCCCACCCCCGACCCCCTACACACCCTATGGTTGCAAATTTCTTCTGCACAGAGTGGATGCCACATTCACTCGGGGCCCCTGCTTTTCCTTGCTGTCTCCAAGTCCTTTTTACAGGGAAGCATGTGGTCAGAAGAAAGCTATTTGCTACCTAGAGCTCCCTCTGCTGATATGCAGGGTTGACGATTAGCTTGAAAACCTACAGTTTCAGAAGCACAACTAGTGTCTGGCAGGGCATGTCGCCTACCTATGCCTATGCCTTCAGTCTGATCAGAAGCTGTTTCCTTTTCTTGGGTAGAATTGGCGGGGCGGGGGGGGGTGTACAGCTGATGCATGTCCATGGCCTCCTGCCCTTTGAGGGTGTCTGGGGGCTTTCGGCCTCCTGCCTCCTCTGACCTCTTTGTGCCCAGGAAACCTGGCACTTGCATGCTCTTGTCAGAGAGAACCAGGAATCCCTAGTGATCGGACGATGTTCTGTGCTTAACTCTCCCACTGACCCTCAGGAACAGGTGACCCATGTCTATTATTTCTGTTTTATACAGAAGTGAAACCTAGAGGGAGGTTTTTAAGAGCAAAGTCAAAGTCAATTTATAGAATCTGGGTACAAACGGGTTCTAATAAACTAAAAAGGAACAGACACATGATTAAGATTTAAAAAAAAAACCCCTACATATTTGAGTAAATTTGACTCGTGAAGTTTATTTAAATTCAGAAGAAGGCATGCCATTCTCTGGTTCTCTAGTACCTTCTGTCAGGACGACTTGAGGGAAAGGGAGATCATTTCTTTACAAACCAGCCTCCCAACATGACCAAGCTGACATTCCTTCAACTCTGCCACTGGCCAGTACCAATATTTCATATGAAATATATAACATTCTGTTACATACAATACCCTTATCCCCTGCCACCCCCTTCCCCAGAAGCCTTAGGGTATAGTTAATGTTATTTGTCTTCACATTTTACAGGTTGTAAAATTGAGGTTTCAGAATATTGGCAACTTGCTTAGAATCACACAACTAAAAAGCTGTTGAGATGCTGATGGAGTTTGCGAACTTGTATGCACCATACTGTGATCTACCAACTGGTGTTCATTCCACACTGAAAGTTCAGTCAGTGCCCTGGACCGGAGAGAGAGCAGGTCCTTGCCATTGGAGCTTTCTATCAAAATAAAGGACCAGATTTAGTGCTGCTTCCTCCAGGCAGCCTTTGGTGATTACCCCCTTTTCTCTTTGATATCTTTGGACATTCATCATTGACGCTGCCCCTACTGTTAATTAAGAAAACAGATAATACCTAACATTTATTCAGTAGTTATTATGTGCAAGTCCCTATAGAAAAAAAATCTTTAGATGGGTTATCTCATTTAATCCTTATAAGAAATCTTTGTATGATTATCCCTGTTATAATCCACCTTTTTACAGATGGGAAAACTAGGCATAGAGAAGATAAACAACTGACACTGAAAGTCTCAATTAGGAGTTGCAGAATCGGGGATCCGCTTGACAGTCCTTAAGGGTGAAGACCCCTCTTTTCCTGATTTCCCTCATAACTCTTGGCTTAGCACTTGGGCACACCCGGGAGCTTAGAACAACTGGATGACGAATTTACTCTCCCCACACTTGAAGGTGATGATAAAACAGGATTTAGGGGGAGGGAGGGGAAAGGAAGCCCACAAATCAGTTGGGACTTCCTTAGAGCTCTGGCTCTCAGATAACACAAGAATAGGAACCGTATTTATAAAGAAAAATTCCTTAGGGAATTTTCTTCATATCTATATTTCACTCGCCCAGCATGATGCCTGGTGCATAATAGGGTCCAATACATCTGTGTTGAATGACTGAATAAGCTTTAAGGATTCTAAAGAAACTTGCTGCTGTTGCTAAGGCTGCCGCTGCCAGAGTCTCAGGCAGTACTTCGGCTCTGTCTTCTACATCAGGCTCCATAAAGATGCTTGAGGAGCTGTCTGTCTTGGAGCAGGAAGAAGGTCTCAGTGACCCTGGAGCTTGCCTTCCCGCCCTTCTATCTCAGGTGATTTTTTTCGTCCTAAAAGCTTCACATAAGCTGTTTATGGCATCCATAACCTGCCTGGAGCTTTTAAACCTCTTTTTCGTGTGGCTTTTTATGAGTTGAAATAAACAAACAATTCTTTCTTTCTCCTGGGGCTTGGGGGCCTGGATCCTTAACCTTCCTCCTTTAGCCTGTGGCCCTGGAGGGAGCTGAACCAGAGCATGGGCCACAAAGGACTGTGGTTAACATGTTGTTGCAGGAAGTAGATAACATCTTTGCTGCTTAGAGGAAAAATGCAGCCCAGACCTTGAAGTAAAGATGGCCAGGAGTGGGGGAGGGGAGTGCCAAGAGTCCCCAGCCTCTACTGGGATTAGGAAGCTCTGTTTAGATACTGAGGAAGAGTTCTGGGGATATGACCTGATGATCTTGGGCACCATCTCACCCAACCCCTCATCTGGCATTGAAGAACCCAAAGTCCTTGGAGGGGAATGACAAGCCCAAGGTCATGTAGCATCACAGTGGCTGCCTCCCCTGAACCTATTCCCTTCTTCCCATAAAACCTGGAGCCCAATAAAACATCCAGGTGGTTGCTGGGGAGCTGGTTTCTCCCCAGGGCCAGAAGTGATGTATAGGACCTTGGCTGGCACGTTCTATCTTACTGGCCAAAGTGCTCAGTTTAGGGGTGATATATGATCTAAAGCTGCTTCAGTCAGAGAGAATCTCTGGGCCTTTGAGGGGAATGCTGGGAAATGGGAAATACTGCCCCTCCTTCTCCTGGGCTAGAAATGAACAAAGGATACAGGTAGTCTCAGCAACTCATGCAAGGCTGACTTGAAGAGAGAACCTCAGGATGAAGCGGACCCCGCGAAGGCAGAGAAGGCAGATGGAAAGGAAAGGAATCACAATTCTAAGCTGCTGGATCAAACCTCATTTTCTCAGTAGTCACTCTGACCCCATCCTCATGAACGCATAGCACTTCATGAACATCTCTAAAGTGACATCAACCTCACTGCGCTTTAATGACTGACATCTAGATTGGGCTCTTACTTTAGACCCCAAGCTTAGTGAAGGGGACATTCAACCTTACTCACTTGTGGATCCCTGCACCTGGCCCAGTGTCTGACACATGTTTATGGACTCTTATGGAGTGCATAAAACAATCTCCCTGCCTCCTTCTCTGATGGATCCTCTTTATTCCTCCACTTACTTCTCCTTACAAATTAGAATGAGATTTGAAAGCACAGTGGACAAGCAGCAAAACATTCACCTCGAGGTTCCAATTCAGACTAGGGATTGGTTCTGCTATTTGTATTCTCATAGTGCTAAGCGCTGCCCCCCCACCCCCATCCCCACCCACTCCCTCTATCTTCTCTGTGTGTTCAGGTCTGCTGTGTAGAAAGACCTGGGCAGAGGACAAGGGAGGGAAAGACTGGAAAGACTGAGTCAGAGAAGGCTAGGGATGAAACTTGAGCCTTTTGGAATCCTCAGTCTAAATCCTCATTAACAGAGGAGGAAGCTCAGGCCCAAGGAGTTCTCCTGGCTCAAGGTCACCGAGACAGCCTAGTCCGAATGGCTAGAACTGTTCCCCCAGAAACTGTGCCCTACCCTGACTGGAAAGCAGGCTTCAGGATGCTTGGGAAGAAGGACCTGGTAGAACGCTCAGGGGCCAGACTTTGGGGCTGGCAGCTTGTGAAGGGCGAGAAACTTCACAGGGTCTCCCCTTCCCCACTAAAACCCTCACTTGCCAACTGGGTCTGGAGTCTCTTGGCTCACTTGTCAACTGGGTTTGGAGTCTGGGTTTGTGCGTCCTTAGGGACCAGAGAAGTGACTCAATGAAGCATTTAGTACATCGTTGGCACTAGGGGATGGGTGTGATTCAGAAGTCACAGAGACTCATTCATAGCCTCCTCCCTGCCCCTTCAAGCCAGGGATCCAAGGATCATTCTGTGCAGCTCTGACACTCCTGAAACGTTCTTCACGTCTCCACCTGCCAAGCAGTCTTTGTGCGCAAAGAAGATCCCGGACCGTAAACACCGGAGCGGGGAGCGTGCTCCATTCAGCAGCCTCGTGCTTGCTTCCCACACGGAAGGCAGGATCTCAGGACCCCCAGATCTTCATTACCCGACCCCCGTCTCGATTCTGAGCGGGCCCACCCTCACCCAAAGCTCCTGCTTTTTTTGCTCCCGCCTCTTTTTCTTAGCAGCGGGAAATGCCCCCTACCCCACTCCCGTCGTAGTGGGGGTCTGTCTTCTCTGTTTGCCCCCACCCCCTTCCTTTCCCTCCTCCTTCTTCTTCCCTCGCTCCACCTCCAGGCCCCGCCTCTCTCCACCCCGGCCCGCGTACCCCCAGCCGATTCCCGGTCACCCGCCCCCCGCCCCTCCGGGAGAGGGGTGTGGGGAGGGGAAGCCCCGCGGGCTAGGCTCTCCCACCCGTCCCTGCGTGCCGTCCCCTGAGCGCGCGCGCCAGCGCCCCCCTCCGCGGCCTCCGGCTCCCCGCCTCCCCGCCTTCCCCTCCTCCTGGTGACGTCCGGGTCTCTGCCCGTCTGAAAACTCCGCGCCGCGGCGGTGGAGGCGGCGGCGGCGGCAGCAGCAGCGGCGGCGGCGGCGAAGGAGCAGCGGTGAGCCGAGGCGGCGGCGGCGGCCCGAGCGGGAGCCCGAGTGGCGGCCGGCGGCCGCGCGAGCCACGGGGAGCGCGGGGGCGGCCCGGAGCGCCCCGGGTCCCCGCACCCCGCTCGCCCGCCGCGCTCCGAAGATGGTGGCGGCGCCGTGCGCCCGGAGGCTGGCCCGGCGCTCGCACTCGGCGCTGCTCGCGGCACTCACCGTGCTGCTGCTGCAGACGCTGGTCGTGTGGAATTTCAGCAGCCTCGACTCCGGGGCCGGGGAGCGCCTCGGGGGCGCAGCGGTCGGCGGCGCCGAGCAGCCGCCTCCGGCCCCGGCCCCGCGCCGCGAGCGCCGGGACCTGCCTGCCGAGTCGGCTGCAGCCCGAGGAGGCGGCGGCGGCCGCGGAGGACTGGGGCCCCCAGCGCGGGCACGGGGAGGCGGCGCCGGAGAACCCTGGGCACAGCAGCCGGCCAGCCGGGGGGCACTGCCCGCGCGGGCGCTGGTAAGATGCCCCTTCGGCTTGCGTCCCGGAGGGAGGAAGGAAGGGAGCCAAGCAGCGCTGGCCCCACGCCCCCCAGTCATCAAACTGGGACTCCCCAAGCCTGCTGGCACCGCATCCCTTTTCCCTGGAAGTCGGGGTGGGGTTCCTGCCAAAGCTTAGGGGTTGGGGGCTGCCCTATCCTGAGTCTGAGGACTGCCCCCTTGGGGTCTGGGGAAGTTATCTCCAGAGGAGGCGTTTTGGGGGGTTGCAGGAGCTGGCTGGGTGCCGGTTCCCCATCACTCGTTCTGGGCGCTCCTACTTGCTCTAGGCATGTAGGTGGTTGGTGCCTCGAACCCCGTCTGCGTGAGTGGATGGTTCCCGGGATCTTCAGCCGCTGCTCATGGGTGGTTCTCGCAGCATCTCTGGTTTTTACCGAGCCGGCTGCAGACAACTCAGTGCCTGGCTTGCCGCCTCGTTTCTCTGCCCTGGACCGAGAGGGGTTCTGGGATCGGTGTCCCAAGTCCCCAGCTCTGTCCCTGAATCAAGACTCAGTGTGGGGTCCCTGGTCTTACTTTGGTCTACTCCCCTCTCTGCATGTCTGACTCCTGCCTTTTACCTTCCCGGTCTCTAACCTTGCCCTTTCCTTGTGCCCTGTCTGACTTTCCTCACCCTGCTCTGCAGTGTGAGGGCATGGTCCCTTCTCCTGCATGGTGTCTCTGGCTCTGTGTGTCGTGTACAGCTGATTCCTATCACCAGCTGTGTCCCACCGCGCCATCGTGACGTGGGTTGCTGTGGGTGTTCTGTGCTCTCCGTGGTCCCGGCTCTGAAACTGTTCCTTCCGCAGGTCTTTTGGGGGCATCTGGGTGTCTTCCTCCTGCCCCCAACTCCAGGGGTGACTTTTGTAACTTCTTTGGGCTGCCTTGCTGAGTTCATTGAACTCGGAGCGCGAAGGAGCAGAGGTCAGAGTCCCCAACTCTGTTCCAGGATGGTCTCTGCCAGTGGGTGTGTCTGCCTGAAGGCATAAGGAGAACTATGTGTCTTTCTCTATCTTCATCTAGCTTTAATCTTCACCGTGCTACTTGCTTACGGGAAATCTAGCTCTTGGGGGACGTTAGATGACAGGGATTAGTTACAGGATCCCTAGACACTGAACACACATCTCTGTCATTTGTCACTTCGGCAGCCTTCACTGAAGGCTGCCTTCAGACACTGTGATGCTTGTTGATCTGCTAAACTTCTTTGGCTTCAAGGCGACCCTCTTCTGGAGTGCAGCTCTTTGTGCTGCTGGGCTGGTGATGCGATGGCAGGTCACATTGCTGGTGGTGGGTCTGTGTCGGTAGCAGGGAGCTGTCTTTCCCTCCTTTTGAGGGGAGGACAGTGGATTGAGATTCCTGATGAACCTGGGAACCAGGACATTCCCAATGACCTGCAGCCTCTTATTTACAGCAAAGGGTACTCTCAAACGCTGCCTTTAAACTACAGGTGTAAATAGTAATGTCTTTGGGCAGAAATGCAATTAGAAGTTCTTCCAGGATTCAGAACCTTACTGGGAGGGGCTCAAGACGTGCGCTGCTGGTCCCATGTGGGAACACGTAGGACAGGCATGGGGCTTACTCTATCCTGTGCATCTGGAATTCCTATCTGCGTCCTGAGATGCCTTTGGGTGTGAATACCACCTGTTGAAACTAGTAGAGAGGAGGAAGGAGGCCTGGCTGTCGAAGTTCTTCCTGGGTCTCTGACATTTGAGTATTCCATTCATTTCCCCACTTTGTGCGTTCAGTTCAGTGTCGTATTCTCTCACCTCCCAGCTCAGTCACAGAGAGGTTCGTGATTGGGAACCTAGGCGAGAGCATGCCATTTTTCCTTTTATATTCCATTTGGAATGCCAGTTCCAGCAGCAGAGTTGCTTTGCTTTTCTGAAACGCTGAAAAGCAAAGTTCTCTTTCATCTGCAAGTTCAGTTATTGTCACTTGTCCATGCCTCCCAGTGTCTCAATTTCTTCACCTTCTGGTATAGACATGCATGTATTTTTTGGTTTTTTCTCCCTCCCCCTTCTTCATAGTTGTCTACCATGCTATTTTTCACTATTGTGTCTCCTGGATTTGTATTTTATTTTATGTCTCCTTTCTTTTCCCTTCCCCCACTCCTGTCCCTCCCCCTCTTCCCCCACCCTGTACCCCTATGCCCTGCTAGATCCTGAAATCACAGTGCAGACTTGCTGGGTGGGGCCAGGAGTCTGTCTTCCTCTGTGTGCCCCCCCACCCCCCAGCCCCTGCCCTTCCATGGAGCTCAGGGAGACCAGAAGGGGGCAGGCTGTTCCCAAAGTCTGGTGTTGCCTGAGCTTGGATTGCAGGCTAGGAGAGGACCAGACCGTTTCGCAAGCCTCTGAGGCCCTTGCAACATGCGGTTTGTTGCAGACCCTGCTGGAGCCGCTGGCATGGTGCTTTGGCGCTGGATTCAGGAGAGAGACGTTGAAAAAAAATTCCCTGTGATTTTCCAGATGGCTCTTGTAAAGAGCTGGTGAGGCACATGCTTGGGAGATGGTGCTTAATCTCTGCCCTGTTGAGGTCTGGGGGTGGGGTGGGGTGGGGTGTGCAGGTGTGCTTCTTGCTCACAGAAGGCTCCTTTGCCCTGGTGGTGGTGGGTATGTCCCCAAGAGTGTCAGGCGGGTGCTGAGCACAGAGCATTTTCTAAACCAGATCTTTTGATGCCTCCTTGCGCCCACCCTCCCACAGCTTCTGCACTTGAACCTTTTATGTTGGAGGAGCTGCACCCCGGTTGAAGGACCCAATTTTATTTTTGGTGCATTTTAAGAAGCCAAGAGGGAACATCCAGTTTCTCAAGCAGACTTAGTCAGATTAGCCAGAGAGCACGAGGGTGGTGGCAAGATGGGCATAAGCCCTCAAAGACCTGCAAGCTTCCCTTTTTCTTTCAGCCTCCTTTACAGCTCTTAAATATTAGAATTATTGGCCGGATTTTAGCTGAGTTTTGTGGCTCTGACACTGATTTTTTTCGCTTGGGTCTCCAATAAGCTGTGGATTTTATTATCATCTCAGAATTTAAGAAAGAGATGGGCTCACTTACAAAGGGCGGGGGACACTGGAGTGTCAAAAAGATCATTCTACACGTTCTGAATAGATTCAGAGAAGATGAAGGAGAGTTGTGTGTGTTAATGTAAGGAATGCTTATTTTCTTTCCCTTTGCCTCCAGTGATCCTCTGAAAGCCCCCACATTTATTGCTTGTGCCCTTTGATAAACTGTTACTCAGTTTCATTTAAGAAACCTAATTTTTATTACCCTTGCATGCGCGCACACACACACACACACACACACACTTAAAGTAAAACAGGGTTTTGGGATTGTCCGACCCCTTTGAAATGTTGATTTTTCGGCATAAATTCCTCATACTTCACATTACTTAGATAACTCAGGATGTTTTCCGACACTGGCAGTGACTTTGAAAAACTGGTTCACTGTATCCAGAGCGCCTCCAGTTCTCACAGCCCCAGAGGCATAGCTTTTCTTTCTCTCCAAATGTTTTGAGACCACAGAGAACAGAGGGTATTTTATTGACGGGGTTTTTTTTTCCCTCACACTCTCAATGGAGTTTTATTTTGCTTGAGCAATGCATTACACTTTGTATACAGAAATATGCATCATTGAACAATATTTATCTTACTGCAAATGTTGCCATCTGCTTAATCACATACTGGAAAATGTTAAATAAAATAGATAAATAAAAGAAATGATTATACACACAGGTATATATGTTTTGTATATATACAGTGTGTTTGTGTATATATTATATATATATACACAGGGTGAGGCAAAAGTACATTTACAGTGTGAGTATATGAAACAGTTTGTTCTTGTATTATTATTTATTAATTATTGTATTGTTTTCCATACAAACAACTGTAAACCTACTTTTCCCTCACCCTGGATATAGGTTTCCTTCCCTTCTCTCTACACTTAGACTTTCTCTCTAGTTTACCAAATCTTTTAAAAAAAAATCTTCCAGAAGTTTGAATGACAAAATCCTTATTACTTTTCGCAAATAGGAAGCCAAAACGTAAGTTCCTGTTTGCTGGAAATTGTCCAACTTTGATCCGTGGCCTTAATAGGAAAGAAATATGGTTTACTGAGCTAGAGTAGATACTTGGCATCATGTTGGGAGTGTATGTGTGTGTATGTGTATGTGTGTGTGTGTGTGTGTGTGTGTGTGTATGTGTGATACATGCTCCCATGCCTATGTGTTTTCCAGACAACAAAATATCCATCAGAGTATCTCTGTAGTAAGGGTCTGTCCTCCACCCAGAGCAGTATGTGATCCGTGGGGCCATAAATCTATGTGCAGAAAGACTGAAATGCACAGTGCCAATGTGATTGACTGTGTGGGATAAGGACGGACCTCTTCGCTATCTTTTGGTTAATACTGCCCTAAGACTTGTCACTTGTGATAACTCCCCTTTTTTTTTTCCACTTTGTATCTTCCCATTTTTTATTGACCCTGCTCCTGATCCCTCAGAAACAAAGGGAAAATACTTTGGGGGGGGGGAAAAAAAAAGAAGTAAACACAAACTCAACCCCAGCAAAACCCAATTTTAAAGGAAAGGCTGTGGGAACAGGAGAGAAACCTGTAGGAAATATATGCCAGGCCTTAGCACAAATGTAAGAGTTAAGTATCATTGGGTTTAACACACCTAGGTTCAAGGTCCAGCCCTGCTCTTTGCCAACTGCATGAGCTTGGCCAAGTCATTCCAACTTCATGCCTCTGAAAATCAGGGCTACCTTGTAGGGTTGTGTGAGGATGAAATGTAACAACATTTGTGAACTGATTTGTGCCTGGCACATAATTAAATACTCAAATGTGAGCTGTTGTTCTTTAAAAAAGAAACTCTTAGCATGTTTGAAAATAAGCAGTTTTTTTTTGTTTTTTGTTTTTTTGCAATTATCATCCATTTTCCCATGCCAGCTAGAGTTTGAGAGAAATCCAAGGGAGAAGGAAACATCCATCTCCT